TTCCATGTATTTTATATGGGGAAAACCCCACTTTTTGTAGAAATGGTATAGAATAGTTAAAAATAAATATTTTTCTACCAGAAACCTCTGTTTATCTGCAGGAGATTCCCAATAATAATATCCAATTGTTTATTTAACAACTTTTTCATCGCAACTATAATTTATAGGTCCGCCAAAAACCGACCAAAATCTCGAAAAATGCAATGGGGCGACCAATAAACAATCGTTAGTATTAAAAAATGGTTAAATAAACAATTGGGTATTGTTATTGGAAGTCTTTTGAAGAGCACCAGAGTTTTCCGATCGAAAAATATTGATTTTCAAGAATTCTATACCATTTCAACGAAAAATTTAATTTTTTCCATATAAAAATACATGGAAAACTTTGAGCGCTTTGAGCGACCTCTAAATATTTTTTGATTTCAAATAAAAAATTGTGGTATACGTTTTTTCAATAAACAACAATCCTAGGGGGTGAGAGCATTACAATGCCGGTTCTGGCATTTGGCATTTGTATTTTGTTTATTTAATGTTTATTGTCTGCATATGTAAAAATTCTGTGACAAATGTATAGTAATTCATCAATTGAGAACGGCTGGGCCGATTTGGCAAAATTTTTTTTTTTTTCGTTGTTCGTTATTGCCAGGAAAAAGTTTCTACGAAAGAAAATTTTGGTAAAACCCTCCGGAAAAGTCGGGAAAATCGAAAATTATTTTTTTTTATGGAATTTTGTGTGCCATCGTTTCGGACTGGCTTTTCGAATGGAAAAATATAAAATTCTTAGTGGAAAACTCGGAAAATTCTGGAAGAACGCGAAAAATTTGAATTTTTTCGACGAAATTTTGCATTTTATCGCATAATTTAATGATTTTGGAAGATGTAAAGGTGGAGAATTGGTTGTGATGCTAGGAAAATTTCAGATAATTGTGAAATTCAAATTCTCTGATGCATATACTAGTAACAATCCTGAGATGCATACGTACCAATCAATAAGAGCAACAGCTACGATTCCGTGCCTTGAAAATTCGGAATCTAGGGTCGGTTGAGAACAACTTTCAGGATATTTCCTGTGGCTACATTTTTCATTCTCGAACTTGTATCCAGTATTTGATACTCAGTCTAGTTATCTGACTCCGGCACAATTTCATTGAGATATGCCCCAATCGAAAAGGGCGAGCAGCTACGATTTCAAACCTTGGAATTTTAAAATCTGGGAGTAATTTGGAATAGATTCCTGAAGGATGTGCTTGGCTACATTTTAATAATACCTAACGATGCTTGAGGACCACTGTGTGCCCATTGATAACTCGGTTATAAAGCTTGAGAAATAATAGGTTTAAAGACACTTTTATCATAGTCGGTAAATCTGACTTTTGACCAGTTTTATTACACAAATACTCCTTTGTGCGGCAAGAAATATTGGCTTAAATTTGTAACTTTATTTGCTAAATATACATTCGCATTCGCGCGATGTACGGCACTTCTCAACCGACGATGTAGATCACGTTCGTATAAACTTACGTACATACATATGTACATATTTACATTCTCCGGAAATTTTTTTTATTAATTTTATTTACGACATTTTTTTACAAAAACCAGCTTGATTTCTTTACTTTTTGTCAATTAATTACGGTTTTTACAAGTGCTGCCACAATAAAGTTAGCCGAGTTGGAGCGTTCTTTTGTAGCTCGTTTACAAAAGATGAGGGCTGGTATCTTTTTTATCAAAATTATATAATTCTTCCAAAAACAAGTACCACGAAGAATTACAAGACAAAAACACAACAGAAAACTATCTCGAAGTGGACCATCCATTCTACGCAACTTTGGTATATATGTACATACAAATATTTATTTTTAATATATATACTCGATGTAAATAAGCTGGTTACAATTAAATAACTGAAGAAAATACTACCATGCAGTATTATGAACTTCGCTAATTTTTGAAAGATGATTGAATTCTTCGCCTTTTCCCACTGATTAAAAAATACATCCATGTGGGTGGGAGTGTCAGATTTTAGAAAATAGCTAATTACATACAAAACCTGTAATAATTGAATCATGTGTACAAATGTATGTATATCTGATACGTTGCCACGAATAAAATCCGGATAGTATGGATATCCGGATAATATTCGTTTGTGCAATTATTCGGATAACCGGGTTTGGTTTAGGAAGGTCCGGGTAATATTCATATTTTCGGATATCTAAACAAAAATCAACAAAGTGATTATAATATTTGTGAATTCAATGCACACGATAGAGTTAATTAGCTCTTGACGGACTTGAAGTTGACCCTTTGGTTTGTATCGTTTTGTCACAATACAAACAAATGACACTATTATTGTCATCCTTTTTTCAAACTATTTTTTCAGAGTAAATATTCTGAATTATAGAGAAATTTTACAGAATTCGTAAAGATCTCATCCAAATTTTCGGCGAATTTTCTAAAATGAAATAAAATGTGCATACTTCGATTCTTTTACGAAATTTTGGAAGAAAATCTGTAAAGAAATCAAAATAATTCTGATATGTGAAAAATTTTTTGCAGATTTTTCTTTATTTTTCTTTGAAGATTCGTAAAAAACAATTTAAAGAAATGAGAAACTCCTAAAGCTTTCGTTAAGATTTCGGGAACTTTGGTTTGCAAGGAAGTAGCAAGTCTTCTATACGCATAAATACGTTTGTTGAACTTTTTAATTCGTTTGTAGAAGCCTTGGAAACTCCAAAGAAGAATTTTGGAAATTGAAAAATTTATACACACAATTTCGTGCGTAGAAATAGAAAACCTGTTACTACACATTTATGAGCGCCTAGTATTGTGAAATGAAAGTATCGTTTTGATAACGAAAAATCCTGATGTTCGGATAGCCGAATATTATCCTAGTTTCCAGAGTAACCGGATTTTACATTTAGGTATCCGTATATTTGAATATTCGGTTTTCCGGATAGTTTAAAAATCCGGGTGAAGTTCCCAGCCCTAATAAAAATCATAAAATAATGATTAAAGATTATCAAAAAAATAAAAATCACATTGTAACGATTAAAAATTATCGAAAAAATAAAAGTCATAAAATAACGATTGAAGCTGATCAAACAAATAAAAATCACAAAATAACGATTAAAAATTATCGAAAAATAAAAATCATAAAATAACGATAAAAAATGACCGAAAAAATAAAAATCACAAAATAACGATTAAATTATGATTTTTGTTATTAACACCGTTTTCGCGTTAAACAAGCTACTGCAAAATGATGCAAAATTCGTTCTTGATGAACGCTGTTAGAAGGCATTTGCGGATGTAAAGGAGCAAATGCAGTCCAGTTTGTTTTTGACGCACTATGACCCCAAGTTGCCCGTGGTGTTGGCAGTAGATGCCAGTCCTGTGGGCGTAGGTGCGGTGCTTAGCCGTGTTTATGAGGACGGCTCCGAAAGGCCGTTACAATTCGCGTCACAAACCCTAACAAAAACGCAGCAGAAATATAGGCAAATTGACAAGGAGACATATGCTATTATTTTCGGTGTTCGGAAATTCGTGACGGACAATAAACCGATTTCAAAAATATTTTCACCGCAGAAGGGCTTGCCATTGTTGTCAGCCACAGGAATGCAGTATTACGCTATTTTTCTGGCACATTTTGATTTTGAGATCCAGTTGAAAAAGTCCAATGATAATGCTAATGCGGATGCGATTTCGCGGTTACCTATTTGCCAGAGGTGTTAAAGAATGCAGTCTTCGTGACTTTAAATCGTTGACTGACTATCACTTTTTAACTGCAGCCAATCAATCACATGTTTGACTAAAGACTGCAAAGTTGGAGTCATTAGTCTTTTCTGTTATTCATGACTAATTAGTCATTTTTGCAGCCTGAGGTGAATAATGATAATCTAAAGCAATCTTTGCGTTCACTTTTTCATAGAATTATAACACTAATTTCTTTAGAAAATAAATGGGTACATAAAAAGCTTAATTGAAACTCCAGTAGTATATAAAATATTTAGAAAATGTCAATGAATTCCAGTAACTTCCATTGAAATAAATTTGTATTTATTATATGTATGTACATAATATATATATTATGTAAATGAAAAAATAAAGTGCATAGAGGGATTTTCATTTAAAATATTATGCTTACGCCTTCCGCATTCACATAAGGTAAAAGTTGGATCAACCACGAAATCTTCGGACGAAAAATCACTTAATATGGAAGACATTTTTCATATACTTAAGTATTTTCTTTTTCTTAAGTATAAGAACGGTTTAAATGGAAACTAGTCTGTTCTGCTTGAATATTTTATTGAAAATGAAAAAATTTTAACATATGTAAGTCAATTCAATACATACAAAATATCATTTACTACTTATGTATGCGCAAATCATATTGCTACAGTTGGGATGTAGATCAGTATAAAACCTAACAAACTCCACCTCAGTCCAAATGTAATTTGGACATTCTAAACGAAAGACTTCGGCCGCTGTGGTGTAGCAGTGCGCGCTTTCACTCATCAGCACCTGGATTCAAGCCCTGGTCAAAGCAACATCCTTTTATAGAAAAGGTTTTTCTGAACAGCGGTTGGCCCTCGGCAGACAATGGCAAACCTCTGAGTGTATATCTGCCATGAAAAACAGCTTCTCATAAAAATACAATCGCCGTTCGGAGTCGGCGTAAAACTGTAGGTCCCTCCGATTTGTGTGAGAACATCACGGCGCACGCCACAAGTCGGAGGAGAGGCTCGGCCAAACACTAACATATGTGTAAGCGCCAATCTAATATTATTATTAAACGAAAGACTTACCACACGAACTTTTCTTGCACAGAAAGTGAAAAATTTTTCCAGAAATAGACTTTAAAAATGGAATTATTACCTGGTATTTCTACAAACGTAATCGCTTACGGGCCACATCCATGACATGTAGGACCGAATCGAAAAAGTTACCAAATTGAAAGATAAATTACCAAGTTTAATAAATGAAGAAAAAAATTACCAATTTTGCTTAAAAATTACCAAAGCAGCAATGCTGGGGGAATCTTTCCCACGACAGCCGGTTCTACGTACCGGAATGACTCGGGTTTTATCCGACCAAGCGCTGTTGTTTCGCCGATCTAACCCCGTTTAGGTCGGCGAAGTATCCCAGAAGTTGTTCGTCCATAGGGCTACATTTGCTAGGCATTCTTCTGCTCAGGGCTGGCATCGAATCAAACCCAGGGCAAGAAATCTACAACTGCACCTCACTCAAGTGCAATGCTTGCGACAGGTGGAGTCACCTCAGAGTCTGCTCAGGACTACGGACCAACGGCAGTGGACCACATCATTTGTAGCCCCCTGTTGCTCAAACAGAGCAGCCTCCACGGCTAACGCCAGTCCACCTGAGCAGTTCAACACAAACACCACAACACAACAACACAATAGACCACACCACAATCACGGAAAACCACACAACAGACACCGCACCACCCACACACCGCCGCCAACAACTCCTGGTTCCTCCTACAATCTGCACGGTATTGCAGACCAGGATATTCCGTAACCTCACACCCCGCATAACAACACGTCTCCCGAACCACATGAAGCTCCTTCAATTTAAATGTAACGGACTTCAGAGCAAGATCGAAGAGATAACCGTATTCATGGGAAGGCATAGTATATTGATAGCTGCGGTCCAAGAGACGAAGTTGCACAGCAATTCAACATTGTTGAATTATACCGGGTACAACGTGCACCGTCGAGATCGCGAGCGAGATAATGGTGATGGCTTAGCGTTAATCACGCACCACACCGTGCAGTATCGTCTTATTGAAGCAGACATAGACCGCAGGGATACCAACCTAGAATGTCAGGGCATTGCTATCCGGTCAGGCGATATTGAGCTCGAAATATTTAACGTGTACATACCCCCTGTCACTTGCTGCCCGGCAGGATATCACCCTGATATAGGTGCGCTCCTCAAAGGTGAAAACCATTTGGTAGTAGGTGACTTTAATGCGCACCACGATCTTTGGCACTCAAGCCTGTCAAACGATCGTAGGGGAACAGACTTGGCTGAGCAGATAGACGATTCGACATTCTGCACAATGAACGACGACGCACCCACCAGGATTATGGGCAGCTGCTGCAGCTCGCCAGACATAACAATAGTCAGCGCTGGTCTGATAAACAGCCTATCATAGCGACCTATGCTGACTTCACCATCTGCCCATCATGTCATCTCGATTGATAAACCAACCGACTTTGCTTCCGCGGAACACCGGACCTATATCAACTTTTCTAAAGCTGATTGGAAAGGCTTCGCGCAATTTACTGAGACCACCTTCGATGTGCTCCCTTCACCAACCGCCGTCCACCTTGGTGAACGTAAGTTCCGCAGGGTTGTCACTGCTGCTGCAGCTCGCTTCGTACCGGCAGGATACATTACGGACCCCCGTCCAAAGTTCCCTGCTGAAGCGGATGTTCTACCCGATGAGCCTGACAACCTTCATCAGGCCGATCCCGAAAATCTCCGTATTAGGGATTTCTTTCGGTAACCATGCTTCGTCGGACCCGGAGCGATACGCGAGCTATTTTAGCCGACAGTTCATACTGCATCCTCCGGTGGACAAAGCAAAGCATCGATTGACCAGAAGGCTGCACAAACTTGCGGTGAAGTCCAGCTGGCCATCGGGAAGGCGAAAGCCTCCAAAGCCATGGGTCCCGACGGAATATGCTTGCTGTGCTGAAAAATTTGGGTCCTGCGGGGGTACCGATAACACTCCTTTCCCCGGTAGCGAAGACACTCGAGGCCTTGCTACTCCTGTATTTCACAAACCACTTGACCCCAGCGAAGCATCAGCATGGTTTCCGTAAAGTGCACAGTACAACAACAGCTTTTAACGCCATAAACGCTCAGATAACTCGTGGCCTTAACCGAAACCGTCCCTGTGAGAGAACGATTCTAGTAGCGTTGTACTTGTCAAAGGCGTTTGATACCGTCTGCTATTCCACGCTAGAAGATATAGAGGCTTCCTCTCTCCCACAGAGGCTCAAACGGTGGTCGGCAAATTATCTGAGTGGTCGATACTCGTCGGTAATGTTTAGAGACAAATCGAGTAAACTTAGAAAAATAAAACAGGGGATTCCACAGGGTGGTGTCCTTTCCCCGCTACTGTTTAACTTTTACATTTCAAAGCTCCCTCAACCACCAGAGGGAGTCTCGATTGTCTCTTACCCCGACGATTGCTCGATCATGGCGACTGGGAATGGAATAGATGACCTGTGTTCAAAAGTAAACGGCTATCTCTCCGAGCTTTCTCGCTTTTTCACTGCAAAGTCTCTAGCCCTCTCCCCTACGAAATCCTCTGCGACCATGTTCACAACCTGGACGAAGGAGGTCAGGCTACCGCTACGAATTTACGTCGATGACACACCAATTCCGACGGTGAATAATCCCAAAATACTCAGAGTAACATTCGACAGCCTGCTCTCCTTCTCTGCGCACGCAACCGCTATTGTCAATAAAGTACACGGGGCAACTGCTCGCGGAAGAGCCCTCGCCACGGCACGTCAGGAGGCATCTTTACGAACTGACAGACGAAGTCCAGAGGTATATTAAACAACCTCTGGACCTGTCAACCTACGGACAGGCCCTGAACGGCATTCACAGGGAATCAGTCTCAAGTTATGTAGACTCCCGCCCTGTGAATGCCGTTCTAGGCACACAACCACCGGACGTGGATGGGACAGAACTTTGTCTGCCTCGGGAGACCCGCACCACAATGGGTATCGCCGATCTAGACGGCGTTCCCCGTAAGGGAATACAACAAGATGCTCTGTAAGCAGTTTCTTGTGGGGTGTCACAGAAGTGAACACCCCAACAGACCACTGCTGGAGGAGGAGCCTCCGCCCAGGCACGTCAGGGGGCACCTATTCATGTACAAGGACGCAGTCCAGACCTACACAGACCAACCACTGGACCCAATGACGTACAGACGAGCGATTAACGACATTCATAGGGACTCTGTCTCCACCTACCTCGACTCCCGGCCTAGGAATGTCGTTATCGG